AAAAATATGAACCTAACTGATTTCATGAACTGATACACCCACAGAGAAACAAGTGCGCGCTGGAGATACAGGCTTGCAGGTTGATGTATTGAAGTGTTGTTCATGCAATAGTGCCAGCGAGTGGAAATTCATTCAGAGAGTGTTGATTGGCATACAGATGAACATACACTCCCTGACATATACACAGACCCACGTTCAAATCTTACACATACAAAAAACACACGCGTATATGTACTAAAGCCCATGTACACACATATATACACGATCCATTCGACACTTCCCCAACAAATGTAAGTAAACAGAGAACACATACACACACGCATATCCTCACACATACACACACTCCCCTCCCCTCTCCCCACCTCCCCCATCCCCCACACATACCGACATCCCCCTACACAAATATACACACAGACGCAAAAACACACAGACACACAGATACCTACCCCCCTACCTACACACCTCCTCACTCCCCACACACACACACCTCTCTCCCCCCTTTCCCCCCCCACACACCCTACTACCCTCCCCCACAAACTCCCCTTCCTACACACCCCCACTAACGACAACGCAGGACAAACGACACGGCACGAAACAACGGCCCATCAACTTAAAATACACCTTTAGACATGAATACACAGCAAACTTAGTGTTGAGGGCGTGGTGGCACATGCAATCAACAGGTAGTGCCAGCCGGTAACGGTGGGGGGGGGGGGGTTGTAGGAGGGCTGTGGGGGTGGAGGTGGAGAGGGTATGAGGTGGGGAGGAAAGGGAGGAGGAGGGGAGGGAGGGAGGGGAAGGGAAGGGAGGGGATGGGTGGAGGGGATGGGAGGAGACTTGGGAGGAGGGAAGGGGAGGAGGAGAGTAGGAGGGGGGGAGGGGAGGGGAATAGAGGTATGGATACAGACGAAAGTAGGAGAGGAGAGATTATTATTATTTTCATTATTGTTATTATCATCATTATTATTATAATTATTATCATTACTATTGCTATTACTATTATTATTATTATTATTACTATCATTATTATCATTACTACTAATTAACATAATCGCAGTTAATACTATCATCATCACTATCACCATCATTGCTATTACTTTTGTTATCATCATCTTTGCTACTATCATCATCATCGTCAAATCATCATTATTATCATTACCATCATCCTCATCTTCATCCTCATCATCATCTTCATCATTGTCTTTAGCATCACCATCATTAGCATCATCATCACCACCACCATCATCATCATCATCATCATCATCAATCTTCGCCATCACCATCATCATCATCATCACCGTCATCATCAATCATCATCATCACCATCATCATCACCACCCACGACACAAATTAATAACTTGACGTAATGACGAAAAGGGGACACAGTATAAGGGAAAAAAAAGAAAAAAAATCACAAATAAAGGGAAGAAACGTACGAACGGTTAAATAAACAAGACGACGTTAAGGAAACAAACAGAGGGAATGAGGGAGAGAAGTGAAAGGAAGATACCACGTGACAGAGAACGAATGAGAGGACACATTAGTGACACTGGCTGACACGTGACAGGTCTTATAAATACTCTGGGAGGTGAAAGTGTACCTCTGACAGATACATAAGCGAATTAACCGGGCGCGTACCCTATGTTTCCCTGTGCCTAGGCTAGGCTAAGGTAACCTGGACTAGTCTAGCTAAATCCTAGCTTAGACTACCTTGTAACCTGGTCCGGACTAGTAAATTCCTAGTTTAGACTACCTTGTAACCTGGTCTAGTCTAGCTAAGCCTAGACTACCCTGTGACCTGGTCTAGACTAGCTAAATCCTAGCCTAGACTACCTTGTAATCTGGCCTAGTCTAGCTAAATCCTAGCCTAGACTACCTTATAACCTGCTCTAGACTAGCTAAATCCTAGCATAGACTACCTTGTAACCTGGTCTGGACTAGTAAATTCCTCTAACCTAGCCTAGACAGACAAATCCTACCCTAGACTAGCCTGTAACCTGGTCAAGGCAAGCCTGCAACCTATCCTATCCTAACCAAATCCTAATCTATCCTATCCTATCCTTGCCAAATCTAACCCAACCTAGCACCATTCAACCAAACCCAACCTAACCTACCCAAGCCATACCAAATCCAATCGAATCTGAACCAAAACTCGATTTGGCATTTATCACGAAAATGAAAAAAAAACACTCAAAAATAATCAAAGCAATAAAATATAATATGCAAATAAACAAAACAAAAACAAAAATAAATAAATAAATAAAGGGTTGAGTCCTTTCTGAATAAATAAAATTTCCTTCCGGTGATGCATTGTTATTTATGGGAAATACGCGCCCCCAGTCGCTTCTCTTGAAATAAAAGGTGGACTCTTACGGGAAATATGAAATAACTGCTCAAAATTATATTGATGATGATGATAATGACGTTGATGATGGTGATGATGATGATGATGGTGATGATGATGGAGATGGTGGTGATGGTGATGATGATGATGATGATG